ATGTTTAAGATACAGGCAATGTATTAGATTGTGTTTTCAAAGTCCATGTATTTACCATTCTGTGAAACCTGGACAATGGATAATCTGCTTTCCAGTCTTATAATTTTTAATTAAATTTTCTTATTAAGGAGAAATCTGTAGATAACAGTAAACATCATAAAGCCCCACTCTTATAGACCCCTACTTTTGTGTTCAACCCTCGACTGTTTTTTGAACAGTAAGGAAGTAAGGGTCAAAGTGCCAAACCTTGTTCTTGAAACCAAAAACTACCAAGCATGCTAGATGGGCTGAATGTTCTCAGAATGGTCTTTCCAGCCTTTCTTATGTTTTTTGTCACATTGCTGCATTACTGAGCTTTTTGAAAGTGGTTTGGGAAAGGGGTTTAGAGCAACAGTGGTACTGAATGTCTCTGACCCAGTGTATACAACAGGAAAGAGATATAAATCAAGAAAGCTCATTTTAAAAAAAATGTAGAAAAGGTTTCACTTACCCTCAATATTGGGTGTCTTCGAGACAGGCAACCATAAACTGCAATGAAGAAGGCTTCCCCCATCAGATGAGTTCGTAAGAGGTGTGAAGATAGTTCATGAACATAGAAGTCTGCATTTCTGACCCAGATTTTCGCCAGGAGCCAGGCATTTCCATCATTGGGAGTGTAAATTGGCTCATCATCTGCTGGTTTCTGTCTCAACTAAGAATTTTTTTGCATGTAAATTTTGTAAGCACATAATATGTTAACATACTGCTTATTTTAAAGAGGAACTGCAGTCCCTGATATGGTTTCTCTGTCTCTATCAATTTCTCTGATATGGTATTAAATCTTGGAAACAAAATAAATTCACTGACTGTATACATTTTTTTACTGATTTCAAAATAAGCACAAAACCATTAACTTTCTGAAAGTAGAGTAAGTTGCCATGTTGTTGCAAATTGCTGGTCTCACCATGGGCAAGAGTGAGGATTTGAGCAAATGGCAACTTGAGGTGACCCTTCCTGCTCACTAGTCACTGTATGATTAATGTAATACAATGTACAAGCTAATAATTACAGGTTGTTCAGCAGACATTTCACTGCAAAAATATTCCAATTCGATCTGCAAGCAGAGATCACAAGTAAGTTCCATTTATCAGCAAAACTGTCTTAAATTTCTATTGCATCAAAAGTGATATATTCACAAGCCTGCTTGTTTACAGTTTAATAAGGTTGCTTCATGTCAACAGAAGTTTTGTTGCCTTGTTCTAATTGCAGAATATGGCACTGCACACATCTGGAAATATCTGGAAATATTTTGTGATGTAAACTGGCTGTTTTACAATTTACT